AGAAAACCCTGATGTTGCCTCAAATATGAGGTCCGCTACGCCATGTGAATCTGACACAGACCACAGTTGAAGCAAAGTAGTGGGAACAGCACCTTTCCTTAAGCGTTGCTTCGTACCTGTGTTGCAGACAGCGGGCAGCAAGCAGTCAGCGGGGTCATCTGTCAAGGTCAACATTGGCATTAAGCCCTGTCATGAACTCCGCAGCCATCGGCAGAGGAAGCAATGGTAACCATGGATAGCTGATTTTCTCGGTTCCTGATGTTCGCCCAATCTGCACCATCAACCCATATGAAGGTATTTGAATGGCTGTGTTTTGCATTGCTTCTACCAAAAGCATGACAGATATATGGTACCGCTTACTGTATGGATAGCGAATGACTTTGAATTGGGTTTAAGGAACTGACTGCACCAAGTAGGTGCAAAAGCATTTTTAATACATGCTTCGTAGCTGTCTGACTGGAGGGTTCTTTGCACGGCTAAACGTCATTAAGCTACCATCTACGTAAAGTACCAATAGGCCAGTTGTGTGAAGATCGGCGAAGACTTATGACAAAAGAAAAAGAAAAGGGGTCCCTGTCCGCTGGGATTTCAATCTTTCTTACGCTTCCATGACTGAGCATCACTGGTGACACCCTTCTTTTCGATTTATGGTGCAGTGCTAATCTTTATGCCCCTGTCATCAGTCAAGAATGCCATGCTGCTCTTTTTTTAGGACTCCGTTCTACAACTCTGTGATCCCTTTCGCGTATTGCCTCCAGTTTTCCTTCAACGAAAAGTGTACTAACTCAGTACCTCTCGATTCTGAGTCAAACGCTCTTTCAATTGAGTAAGCAACCAGGTCCAGTGCAAAGCAGGGTCCTCACATGGTAGGGGTGCTCAATTAAGACCGTATGCCGGTATCTTGTTTACTCTTCATCCCACACGTATTAACCGATATATGGAATACGCGCGAGGAGTGATAGCGTTGGATGTTGACGATAAAGGGTATTTAGAAGCGCAGTTGTGGCTATCATTTCACCAAATATGCACCGTAACTAGATGATAATTTTTCTTAACGTGGCAATAACGGGGGACACAGTCCCAGACGTACTGCACGTATTCGCAG